GACAGAGTCTCTCTGTAGCCCCAGCTGGCCTGGAATTCACTATGTAGACCAGGCTAGCCTTAAACTCACAGAGATCTGCCTGCCTCTGATGCCAGAGTCCTGGGATTAAAGGCATGCACTACAATGCCCAGTCCAGGTGAAGGTTAAATACCACTTTTTCAGAGAGGCCTTTTCTAGAAAGCTTCTTTATGCTTATCACGTTCTTTACACAGCCTTCTTTCAAATATGGTATTTTGTCTGGCTGACTTTTAAAATTTATATCTTATATGTGTATGAGTGTTTATCTGCCTGTATGTAAGTGTATCACGTGTATGTCATGCCCACAGGGGCTAGAAGAGGATGATGGATCATCTGGAACTGGAGTCACAACAGATATTAATCGCCATGTGGGTGCTGGGAACTGAACCCAGGTCCTCTGTAAGAGCAGTCAGCGCTCTTAACTGCTGAGCCATCTCTCTAGCTCTTCATATCCTATTTTGAAATAACACATTTATTTTCTTATTATGTGTCTTCTCCAACAGACAGAAAATTCCATGAAGTGTCCTTTCTGTTTTGTTCACCACTATTTACCTGGCATTTCGGAAAGTGAAACACACTATCATCTTGTCTTAGAATCTGAAAGAACCTTTGAGACCACTAAGTTCAATGCCTTCCTTTCTTCTTCTTTTAGTCTTTTTGAGAGAGGGTCTCCCTGTAGCCCCAGCTAGCCTGAATTTACTATGAAGACCAGGCTGGCCTCAATCCACAGAGGTCTATCTGCCTCTGCCACCTGAGTGCTGGGATTAAAGTCAGGTACCACCATGCGTGACCCCTTCTTTTATGACATAGGGTCTCAGTATGTGGTCCAGACTCAAGTGATTCTCCTTTGTCAGTTTCCTGAGCAGCTGGGACTACAGGCCCAGCTACTTTGCTTAACTGAGGCAACAGTCCAAAAGTGTTTCTTTTTCGTATTTTAAGTATTTCTTATTAGGTGATTTATTTCTCTATGAAATGCCTTTGACTTTGTAAGAAAACCCTGACCATTTTTATTTTCATAGGTTGTATGTTACAGAACAAGAATTACATATTGAAATCTGTATTTCTAAAAGGCAGTCTTCTGTATGCATATTTATGTCCAGTGCCTTGGACACTGAATACTTTTCCTTAAACAATCTTTTAGCTACAAAACACATGAATGAGTAAACCTTGGAAAAGGGATAACATCTTTGATATTGTTAACTCCCAAGACGCACTGTAAGTATCGTTCAAATCCCATCCCAAAGCCTCCATGTGGCACAGATCCAAATCGACGAAGGTCCAGATACCTGTTTTTAAAAACAGAGAATCATCACCTATAAATACTGTATGAGGTCAGATGTTATGATTAGAATTTGACATTTCAAAAGTATTTTGAAATCATTTGCTATTGTCTATGTCACTGTGGTATACCAGAATAGAGAAGTTAGCGCAGTCTAGCCATCTAAGGTTAAAAAGGCAGTAGTGTATTCTGCTGAACAGTTGTGGACTTTGGTCATTTGATTGTTTTTCTTTATTTATATATCATTCATTTACAGAAAACTTGGGGGGGGGAGGGGTCAGGGTTTCCCTGTAGTCTCAGCTGGCCTGGAACTCATTATGTAGAGCAGGCTGGACACAATTTCACAGAGATCCACCTGCCTCTGCCTCCTGAGGGCTGGGATTAAGGTACACACCACTACAGCTTGTTTTTCCTTCCTTCCTTCCTTCCTTCCTTCCTTCCTTCCTTCCTCCATCCCTTCCTTCCCCTCCTTCCTTCCTTCTCCCTCCCTCCCTTTCTTCCTCCCTTCTTGTCTTTTAGAGACAGGGTTTCCCTGTAGCTCCAGCTGGCCTGAAACTCAAATGCAGACCAGGCCAGCCTTAAACTCACAGAAATCCTCCTGCCTATGCCTCCCAAGTGCTGGGATTAAAGGCATGTACCACCATGCCAGGCTATACTTGCTTTATCTGATATGGCCGGGTGTGGTGGTGCACGTCTTTAATCCCAGCACTTGGGAAGCAGAGGCGGACAGATCTCTGTGAATTTGAGGCCAGCCTGGTCTCCATAGCGAATCCAGGTCAACTAAGGCTACAGGGAGACCCTGTCTCAAAAAGACCAAAAAAAAAAAAAAAAAAAGGACACAAAGTTGTCAGGTAAAAATGATGGGGAGAGGGGAGGGAGTGGGTGTGGATTTGATCAAAACACTTCATAGGCATGTATGAAATTCTCAGTAAATTTTTTAAAAAGTTAATAAAAAATAAAAAATGAGGGGTTGGGGATTTAGCTCAGTGGTAGAGCGCTTGCTAACAAGTGCAAGGCCCTGGGTTCGGTCCTCAGCTCCGAAAAAAAAAAAAAAGATAAAACAAAAAATGAGCAAAAGTACTGACACACACCTTTGGTATATTAATGGTAACACTTTTTTTTCCTCACTCAAATAACATCATTTAATACAAGGAGAAGAATGAGGATGTTTGGTTTTAGTTTTGTGTGTGTGTACATGTGTTTCTATGAGTAGGCAGCATGCATGCCAGTAAGTATGGAGGACAGAGGTCGATGTTGGGTATCTTCCTCAGTCATTCTCTACCTTATTTTTTTGAGGCAGGGTCTGAACTTGGAACGCACAGATATAGCTACACAGGCTGACCAGAGTCCAGGGAACTGCCTGTTTCTCCTGTGCTCCTCTCTGAGTGCTGGGGTTACAGATGTCAACTGCTGTGTGTGGCTTTTTACATGGTGCTGGTCTGAACTGAGGTTCTCATAGCAAGCATTACAGATTGAGCCTTCTCCCTGGCCATAAGAATGAAGAGTTTCGTCTGATACATTACAAAAAGATTTTTCTCTTTATTAGATTGTGCAGTATATTAGCAGTGAGCATCTGTTTCAATCAACCTTTTATCTCCAGAGACTGCTCTAGAGTAGGTGTTCATTGCATGAAACTTAATTCTTTGAAGGAAAAAAAAATATATTCTTGAGTTCTGGAGTGAGAAGAAACTTTCAATTTTATGCTTCAGGGCCAGTGAAGATGCTATCAATTTTCTGGCATGGTAGATCACCTCCAATGCCCACTAGGCATGTTCTGCTCCCATTTAAGACCCCTTGGCTAAAAACTAGTACAGATATAACTGAAACTCAGATTTCAATAACTAGTAGGAGATAAAGTTATTTTAGGAAGAAAAGAAAATATTTGGTCGCACTTTCTGTTGCTCTTTTTATTTTGTTTTACTTTTATGTGTATGAGTGTATTGCCTGTATGTGAGTGCACCTGTGTCATGCAATGCAGTGGAGATCAGAAGAGGGCTTCGGATTCCCCTGGAACTGGAGTTAAGGATGGAACGTAGCCACCATGTGGGTGCTGGGGACTCGAACCCTGGTCCTCTGCAAGAGCAGTCAGTGCTCTTAACTGCTGAACCATCTCTCCAGCCCCCTGTTGTTATTCTTTTGAGAGAGGGTCCCACTATGTAGCCCTAGCTGGTTTGAGATGCACTATGTAGACCAAGCTGGCCTAAACTCACAGAGATCTGCCACCCTCTCCCTTCTGAGTGCTGGGATTAAATGCATGTACTACTACTATACCCCACCAGGGAAATTATCTTTTAGCTTTAAATTTTTTTTTTTTTATTTTACTATTTTTATTTTATGTGTATGCGTGTACTGCCTGCGTGTAGGAAAGTGCATCCGTGTCGTGCAATCCCCGCGGAGGTCAGACGAGGCGGTCGGATCCGCAGGGGACTGGAGTGCCAGACAGTTGTTAGCTGCCATGTGGGTGCTGGGATTTGAACCCGGTTTTTCTGCAAGAACAACCAGTGTTCTTAACCGCCGAGCCATCTCTCCAGCCCTAGCTTTAAATTTTTTTATTACATTTGTTTATTTGTGTGTGTCTGTGTTTGCACACATGTACATATGTGTGCATGCATGTGAGCTCATGCCACGGTCATGAGAACAACTTGTGGGAGTTATTTCTTTCCTTCTACCATATGGGTTCTGGAGATTAAACTCAGCTTCAAACTTGCTAAGCAGCCAAGGCTTGAATTCCTTATTTTCCTACTTCCACTTCCTAGTTATAGATGTCCACTACTATGCCAAGTGTGTTGGATGGCTTTAGTGTCAACTTGACCAACACCTGGGTTGAGGGAGCCTCAATTGGGGAATTGCCTTCATTGGACTGGCCTATGGCCATGTCTGAGGGGCATCTTCTTGATTATTGAATGATGTGGGAGGGCCCAGGCCACTGTAGGTGGTGCTACCCCTGGGCAGGTGGGCCTATACTGTATAAGAAAGCAGGCTGAACAGGGACCAGGGGAGCAAGCCAGTAAGCAGCATTCCTCCACGGCCTGTGTTCCAGCTCCTGCCTCCAGGTTCCTGCCCTGAGTTCCTACCTGGGGCTCCCTGATGAACTGTGACCTGGGAGATGTGAGCTGAATAAACCCTCTCCTCCCCAAGTTGGTATTGGTCAGAGTGTTTTGCTACAGCAATGGAGAAACAAACTAGAACACCAAGATTTATATATAATCATATATATATGTATATATATATATATAATTTTTATGTGTATGAATGTTTTGCCTACATGTATGTAAGTGCACCAAATGCCTGCAAACCTGCAGAGACCAGAAGAGGGTTCCATGAAGTCTTCTGAAACTGGTGTTTTGGATGGTTGTTAGCCACTGTCACCTGCTGGGAACTGAACCCCAGTCCTCTGGAAGAGAAGCCAGTGCTCTTTATCACTGAGCCATCTCTCTGGTTCCTTAGATAAGCATTTTTGAGAGTCTGATTGATTCTAGGGCAACCAGGAATAGAAGAGATGCCAGAAAATTTCTGGAACTGGTTATAGATTAATTTTCATATGATAAGCAGAACTAGGAAGTGAGCACACTTTCAGTCACCTGGCTGCTCACAGGATGCAGGAACTTGAGTAGAGATCACAGACTTGAAACTTTCCAAGCTCCTTGCATCTTTAATATACTATGACTACTTCATAAAAGGAAGCAAATACGTACATTTGAAGAGTCTAAGTATGTGAAACTTTTAGTTAAAAAATAGTATAGGGGTAGGAGAGATGGCTTAGTCAGTAAGAGTGCTTGCTGCCAAACCTGACACATTGCTTTTGATTCCCTCAACCCATTCGATGGAAGGAGAGAATCAATTCCCTTTGGCTGTCCTCTGACCTCTACACATACTGTGGCATGTGAATGTACACACACACACACACTCAATATAAAATGTCAATTTTAAAAAAAGATAGCATAGAAATGATTAATAAAGATCAATATATAAATAATAGATAAAACTCAATATATAAAAATATATAAAATTTGCTATTACTTAAGCTAGTTTTCATACGATATTATCTATAGACAGAACCTAAGAAAAGAAGCATAAGCTTACTCAAATAGGCCTTTCTACAAACAGCAATGCTTAGAAGAAAGGAGAAGAGAAACTGCATTTACTGCATTTCTTCTCAGTCTGGATACATTGTCTGTACTGTTTCATTTCACATAATATTTCTATGAAGTAGGTATCATTTCATTTTATAATCACGAAAACAAAAACTCTTAGTAAGAATGTATACCTAAGGACATTATTGGTAACTATAAAGCATTCACAAACCATTGGCTGAACTTTGAACTCCGAGACCTAGCTCCTTCATTACCAAAATGCAAGAGTGCAATTTGTCCCTTTCTCCTCTTGAGGACAAAGGGGTTAATGATATTGTTGATATTATATCAAGATCCTAAAGCAGCACTATTATAGACATATAAATAAGTCATTTATCTGTATTTCATGTACTTGAAGAAAAGGTCTATGGAAAGAAAAGCAAAGCAACTTTGGGAAAGTGAATGTGTGACTGCAGACAGGTGGTCATCCTTAAGTAGCTTAGAGCTCTACAGTTCTTGGAAACCGAGGGCTTAATTCAGGGTTCCAGTGCCACGCATAGAGAAACTGAGTCACAATGGTTAAGAGTAAAGACATCCCTTCTCGGCGAACAAACAAAAGCATAAAGAAAGATGATGGTTTACCGAGGAATTTGCAGCTCCATCCTAACTGCGAAATCTTGGCTAAGCTAGTTCATAACTCTAGACCTCAGGTTCAGAGGGGCAGTAAGAGATAATAATAGCACCCACCTCTCAAAGGTTATGATCATTACATGAAGTAGACATAAAAATGTTAACATTGTTTTCTGACACATAAAAAGTAGTAACTAAATGTAAAAAAATATTTTGAGACAGAATCTCACTATATAGCTCTGGCTGGCATAGAATTTGCTATGTAGCCCAGGCTGTCCTGAACTCACAGAGATTTGCCTGCTTCTGCCTCATTAACAGCGTGCCCCACCATGCCCAGAGGTAGCCATTCTTTTACTGTTTTTCACAGACCAGAGGAGAGTAAACAATCATGTGAGCCCCCTATCCGGCTCCTAACACTCACTCTCAGGGGTATGGGAATACAAGAAACTGCGCTCCTACACAATCCTCAGACTAGCAGCTAGAATGAAGGCACGTTCTTACCATTGGTAAGCTTCTGTAAGTCCTGATCTGTAAAAAGAAAATAAGGACAATTTTTGAGACAACGACAATAAAGTCTATTAATCACCAAACATCGATTGTGGGTTGTGTACTCTGAGAACTTCATAAGGAAGTATACACATGGTCCTCCAGTATCATGCAATAGAATTGAGGAGGTGAAACTTCTATTAACAGTAAGGTAATCAACAGTCCACAGTATTATTAAGCAGTATAGGCAATACATGCTATTGAATGAAAATAGGATCCAAAGAAGGGGCCGATCTGACATGAGCTTACTAACCTGTGATAGAAGAAAAGCCCCTATCATTACTAGTTAAGGCACCGGTGAGGCCCACATAGACAATGCACACGTGGACATAACTTTCATTCTACAGCATTTGAAACAACAATACCGATTCTGAAGCTGCACTCATAACATTACTACAATTTAGTTCTTGTCTAATTCGAGAAATGTAATATTTTAAGCTCTTGGTGGTCATTAAAATTAACTTCAGCCCTTTAAAAGAAGCATTTGGGACTATATTTAAAGTGATGAAGGCAGTGAAAGTTCTAATATGCAAAAGTACAGAAAACATGAACAACAGCCACATACAGATTCCTGAGATAGGGGACACACATCTTCACTGGGCAAGAAAAATTTGGATACTACCAGATACTAGGTAAACATTTGATGTTATGAGGAAAGGTTTCCTGGAGGAAGGAAGTAACTGAAGAAAACAGACCAATTAATCTTTCAACAGATGAGGGTTCTTGCCACGTGTGATTTTTATTGTGCCTTTAAAAACTTAGAGAACATTAAATTCTTTCCATCTAAAGATTCTGACCTTTGCTTCAATTCCACAACTTTCCCAGGATTGTCTAACGCTGCAGTGGCAGCAAGGAGGCGGCTGCCTAGCTGGCAAAGGGAGTCTTCTTAAACATGTGCTACTTGCTTTCTTCTGGGTCCTAACCCAATAGAGCAGCTAGGCAGACAGGAATTGCAAAACTAAGTTACCAAAGATTTACAGGTTGGGATCCTGGAAAAGCATCAACTTCTGAAGGATTGCTCCATTAGGAAAAGGTCTTACAAATGGCTAATTTAACATGATTATTTTCAAAATACAGCTTTTCCAGGTAATGATGAAACCCGGTTCCATCAGGAGTGAGGATTAATACAGACATGGGAAACTTTTTAAAAAAATGTCTGGTACAGCAAAAGTGGAAATCATAGAAAACAGAGGTTTATAACCTTAGTCAGCTTCGGAAGACTTTGTGGTTTGCTGGCAGACCCTGCATACACTGGAATGGTAGTTCAATTAGAAATATGATTCCCTACTTCCTACCTCCAAAATATTTTCTATGTATCTATGTATTCATTCTTCAAGTCTGAAAAAGTTAGTTACTCAAGTAGCTGGATCGACTCGTACAAAGGAGAGAATCCCTGGAAGGGACAGCTACTTATTCTAAATGCTAGTTTGGCACTTTTCCATCTTTAACCTTTTCTTGGTTCAGTCTGTATTCATACCCTGGTGGGAACATGCCTTTTATAAATGAGAGTTCATTAAAAGAAAAAAAAATATATATGTATATGTTTATGTGTATGTATGTGTGTAAGAGAAAAATGTGAGACAAAGTTTGATGTGGATGGGCATCTCTCTTGCTCTTAATAATTTTTTTAAATTTAAAAACAGGGTCTTGCTATGTAATTATGAATGGCCTGGAACTCACTATGGAGACCGCAATGGCCTTGAACTTAAGTGTGATTCTGCTTCTGGGTCTACAGGTGTGTGTCACCATGATTGGCTGGTTTTGTTTTGTTTTCTTATCTCTTTTTGAGACTGGGTCTTACTCTGTAGTCTAGGCCAGCCTGAAACTTGTGAAACTCTCTTACGTGGCCTCCTGCTGGGATTATAGAAATGCACCACCTATGCCAGCCAATAGCTCCGGACTTTAAGAAAGATGTCCATAGAGGACAGAAACACCTTCCTCAAGATCATATTGAACCTGACAATCAGGCCTGTTGGGTGTGAGGAGGCCCCAAATGATTTTCTTCTGTCACACTGTGGGAGCCTGAGTACCTCCAGTTACTGAAGTGTGTTTCTTTTAGGTCTGACCAGTACCTGGCTAGCCGCTGCTCTAAGATGTGGTACCGCTCCTCCCTGAGGCTCCCTCCATAGAGCTCTCCAATCCCAGGAACCAGAAGATCAACAGCGGCAACCTAAAGAAGAAACAAGCCGAGCAACCGTGACTAGCACTGTATTTTCTCATGATTCCAAGAACAGGCAGCTTTTCAAGCAAGTGGAACATTTTTTGAAACAATTTTAAGGTTGGATATTTTACTATTAGAATCTTATTCATTTTATCTGTTCTATTAGTCAGGGTTCTCCAAAGAAATAGAACCGGAAGGATGAATATATATGTATAGAGGTTTATCAGCTTAGCTCACAGGATAGAGTCTGAGTAGTCCAACAATGGCTGCACCACACTGGAGAGGCTGAGAATCCGTAGTTGCTCAGTCCACGAGGCTGGATGTCTCAGTAGTCCCAATCTGGCGCTGAAGGTCTGATGAATTCCAAAAGATCAGCTAGTCTTCAGTCTATAGCAGCAAGACGGACTCACCAGCGAGAGAGAAGGCAAGCAGCTAGAAGCGAGGTGTTCTCCTCGCCTTGGCTTTTTATACTGGCTGCCATCAGAAGGTAACACCCACATTTATTAAAGGGTGTGCCTTCCAGCTTCAGATGATCCAATCATGAAGATCTCTCTCATTTCAGTTAATCCCAGATCCAGTCAAGTTGACACCCAGGATTAGCCATCACATCTGTCCACATTCCCTACTTCAATATCAAATACTTAATATTATCTTTAGAATAATGCTACACAAGTGGTGGGCAGAGTTTCTTCTTCCTTCTTACATCCTTCACATGCTTATCAAAAATTTTACAGAAGTGAAAATAAAAGGAAAAGTTTAAACAAATACCCACTGGTAAGAATGAGGGGAGAAAGGCAGAGGAGAGCAGACTTCAAGTGAGTGTCTACAGACAGATAGATACTACCAAGTGAGTGTCTATAGATAGATAGATACTACCAAGTGAGTGCCTACAGATACTTCTGGGATAGAACCGAAGGTAGCAGAGAAGACAGTACAGATTTGTACAAGGTAAGATTCTTTTTGTCTTTTTTTTTGTTGTTGTTATTTTGAGACAGGGTCTCCCTGGAGCCCCAGCTGACCTGGAACTCACTATGTAGACCAGGCTGGCTTCAAAGTCATAGAGATCCACCTGCCTTTGCCTCCCAAGTGCTGGGACTAAAGGTGTGCACCACCATGCTTGGTCTTCTTTATTTTTGTCTTTTTTTTTTTAAATGAGGAATTTTTTAATTTTAATTTTTTGATAAAAAATATACTATGTGGGGGGGGGGATATACTATATATACACTATTACCCTGGCTGGTCTAGAACTCGCAATGTATATCAGACTGGTCTCAAACTGGGCTTCCCACCTGTAGCTATCCTCTTGCATCTGCCTCCCAGGCACTGGGATGACATGTGTAAACCACCATGCCTGGCTTTGCAATAAACATTCTTTAGGGGAAAAAAGATTCATAGGAATTTTTAGCTATATACCAACCCAGGAAGAGGGCCAAGACTAGGACTAAGTGACCTTTCAAAACCCTTTAGCCCCATGAGTCTAGTAACCACATATTTATATGTATAAAGTACTAGTTTCCTATCTTTGAATCTCATTAAAGGGAACAACTAAATTAACATAAAAATATAAAATAGTTTAAGAACATACCACACATAAACTTAAAATCTGATAAAGCTCACATAATGCTGATATACAAGGTATTACATGTTTGAGGGGAAAAAAAATTCTGGAGTCTTAGTGCCTCCAAAAAAGACAACAATTAAAAACAAGTCCATGCAAACACACTCAAATGCAAAACACACACACACACACACACACACACACACACACACACACAAACACGCACACACACACACACAGTCTCATGTAGCACCAGCTGGCTTTGCATCTACTATGCAGGTGAGGATGACTTTGACTACTGATCCTTCTGCCTCCATCTGCTGAACTCCAGGTGTGTGGCACTACAACTTACCTGTGCCATGCTAGGCCTTGAATCCAGGGCACTGTGCATACTGTGCACATACTACCAACTGAGTTACAGCTTCAGCCTTCCTGTCTTTCTTTTGTAGGACATTTGGTCTGTGTATGTCTCTGTTACTTCATCAATAATGAAAGCAAGAGTTTTCTTTTTATTTCTTTTCCTTCCTTCCTTCCTTCCTTCCTTCCTTCCTTCCTTCCTTCCTTCCTTCCTCCCTCCCTCCCTCCTTCCTTCCTTCCTTCCTTCCTTCCTTTTTCTTTTTGTGCACACATTATGACTGAGCTACATTCCAGGTCCTACAATGAACAGATTTCTTTAATTTGTGGTATTTCAGTATGTCATATATATTAAGTTTTGATTATTAATCAAAGAAGTACAAGTTAAAACAACGAAATGCCATTTTGGCGTTTCTTATCTTGATAAAGATAAGTAAGCAGTATCAACTATATAGATAAGAGGTGAACCAGTATCCTCATATACAACCTTTTCTGGTCAGCAAGTTGGCAACAGTAACTAAAAGTCTTCAAAATGTAATAATACGCTGAGTCAGTGACATCAGTTCTAGGAACTGGTCCTAAGAAAATAATCAGTGAGACAAAAAAAGAGTAATGCTCAGGATGTTTACCACTGCATTACTTCCAATAACAGAAATCTAAGTGTGGGTCAGCAAGAGATGCTCAGATAAATTTTAGGCATTGACACAGCAAAAGACTGCTATGAACTTAATAAAACTGTTAATTGCATTGCCATTGTTATGGGACCATGGATTTAAGTTTTTTCTGGTTTTCTCTTATTTGCATTTTCTTTTAAAAATGAACATGTGTTACATTTTTGTTACATAAAATAGTAAAAAAAAATTTTTTTTTTGCAGACAGGGTCTTCCCGTAGCCCCATCTAGCCTGGAACTTGCTATGCAGATCATGCTGGCCTTGATCTCACAGAGATCCACAGAGATCCACCTGCCTCTGCCTCCTGAGTGCTAGGATTACAGGCATGTACTACCATGTCAGGCAGTAATAATATTTTAGTAGAGGAAAAATAGAAGCTTGCTACTTTAGTTTGTATTTCTGTAATTACTAGTGATATTTAATTAAAAAAATGTTTACTTGCAATCTGTACTACTTTATAATTTTTTTTTTTTTTGGTCTTTTTGAGACAGGGTCTCTCTGTAGTCCCAACTGGGCTGGAACTCGGTATTGAGACCAAGCTGGCTTTGAACTCGGAGAGATCCATCCACCTGCCTCTGCCTCCCAAGTACTAGGATTAAAGGCATGCACCACCAAGCCTGACTTATTATCTATTTTTTAAAATCATCTATCTATCTATCTATCTATCTATCTATCTATCTATCTATCTATCCATCCATCCATCTATCATCATCTATCTATTTGTGTGTGTGTGTGCGTGTGTGTGTGTGTGTTCTCAAAGCATACATATGGAGGTCAGAGGACAGCTTGAAGAAGTTGTTTTTCTCCTTTTACCATGTGGGGGTCTTAGGAATCGAGCTCAGGAAGTCATGCCTGGTGGCAAGTCCCTTAATCTGCTGAGCCACCTCCCTGGCCCTGACCTTAACTTCTGCTCCTTCCTTTTCTACCTCCAAATTTCTGGGATTACAGGCATGCATCACGATACCTAGTTTTTGTGGTACTAGAGATTGAATCCAGAGCTTTGTGCATTTGAAGTAAGCACTCTACTGAGTTATACCCCTAGCCTGAAAATTTTGTTCTTATCTTCAATACGGTTTTATATTTAGAATTATGGGCAATTAGGTTTGGAAGAAAATAATTATCCAAGTGGGTCTCTGGCCTTTGCCATCCTGTATAGCTCTGAATAGATAGATATATTTTAAAAAAGACTATCACTTCCAAGGCTTAAACTCAGGGCAATTCTATGTAACAAAGGTGGCCATAATTCCTAGTGACACTGCAAGAATATAGAAAGATTAATAATCATATGAAAAGGTCTACTGCCTCAGAAAGAGAGTGGAGAGCTGCTATTAGGGAGAGGAGGAGATGGTTCCGTGAGGCAAGTGGCCATGCAGCTCTGAGGCGTTCTGCTTTCTCCATATAGTCATAAACATCAAACCAGAGATCCAATTCTTACTTAATCTTGGTGCAACTATAACCAAAAGAAATTAAAACAAAAACAAAAAGCAACCACCTCTTGGATCTTACAGTTTTTTAGAGAGGCATAAAAAACTACTGTTCATCCTTGATTGCAAGCCTCTTTTATTTATTTTTTAATATTTTATTTATTATTTTTATTTTATGTGTATGAGTGCACCCATGCCATGCAATGCTGTGGAGGTCAGAAGAGGGCTTCGGATTCCCCTGGAACTGGAGTTAAGGATAGTTTGTAGCCACCACGTGGGTGCTGGGAATCAAAACTGGGTCCTCAGCAAGAGCAGTCAGTGCTCTTAACCACTGAGCCATCTCTCTAGCCCTGGCTCTTTTATTTTAATGTGTGAGTTCACTGGAGAATTCACTGTGTAATCATGCTATCTTAGACCTTCTGTGTAGTTTTATTTATCTGGAATATTTACAATTGCAGTAGATCTGGAAGCTTCTAAACCTTTTGAATCACCTTTAAATCTTACACCATGGTATGATACTCATGCATATTTCTAACATTTTCTAACTCAACCTTCTGAATTACCAGGGTATCTAACTGGCTATGTTCAACTATTTCTGCATAGCTATTATAACCCTGTGAGGTGACAGGGACTGTATCAGGATAGGCTAGATGCTACAGTCATATAAAACCCCAGAGTTTTTCAAGTCTCAGCATTAGTAACATTTTGGCCAGCTATTTCTTGGTTTTAAGGGCCTGAAGTATGTGCTGTAGAATTTTTTTTTTCCTCCTTTGGTGAGGGGAAGGAACCAGGGCCTCCGTATATTCAAACCACTGAGCTCACCTGTAGTCATTCTAAGATACGTAACAGTACAACTGGCTCCCATCCACTAGATGCCAGATGAATTATTACAACCCACAATGTCTCTAGACATTGGTAAATGTCCTTCAGAAACTGGGGAGATGTGAGTATAACAATCCCTGATTAAGATTCACTAGTTTATGGGCTGATGGGTAAAGGTG